TATTAAATAAAATCGTTTGTATTTTACTTATCAAAATCTTCATAGATTATGATTATCTTCTAATTTACATTTACATTACTTTATAAAAAAAAACTTTAAAACTTCATTAACGAATGTCAATCCTTATATTATTCTATCTAATTATCCCGCATTGAAAACAAAAAATATATCTTTCTTTTTGCACTTTGATTAGTTTCTGAACGATTTCGTAACTTGGCACCTGTTTTGGCTTACCGTTGACACGATACTGTGTGAGGACAAAAAATCCGGGTAGCTTTTAATATGAAAATGAATCGCTGAATGTGTTGCTAAGCGCAAATCTCGAGAGCAGCTGAACCGATTTCGCTAATTCTTTTTTTTAAATATTCCTTGAAGTACGAGTACAGTTCTTACGGAGAGAAAAATTTTAAATATTGCCTGAAAAATTCTAAAAACAATACTTTTCTACACTCCCATACAAAAGATTCGTAATAATACTTAAAAGTCAATTTGTACTTAAATACCATACCATAAAGTTTAAGTGTTAGTGGAGAGGTTCCGGGAAGGCAAACAATTGAGTGACGTTAGTATCATATAAATATTAGTGTCAATATTTGTCAATATTTATACGATGGTAACATTAATCAAAAACAAATTGTCTATGGTAAAATGTAAATTGTCTGTGGTAAAACGTCACTTGAAATGTAAACGTCTCTTTGCTGTGCATATAATAAAAATAGAAATGAATGTTGCTATGCGCAAAACTCGAGAACGGCTCGATCAATTCAGAAATTTTTTTTCGTATGCTCCTCAAGGTACACGGAAAGTTTTAAATAAAGAGAAAAAATATAAAATAAGGTAAATATATATGTAAAACAAAGTCGTGTGAGTTACACCATTTATAACTCAAGAACGGCTGGACCAATTTCTACGATATTTGATTTTTTGGATTTCTCTTAGTCCAGAATAGGATGATAAGTATTAAAACATCGGAAATATTAACGAAAAAATAAAATAAAATGTATATGGCTAACGCTGGCTAACTATTTATATCTATTTAAAACATACCTAGCGACGAACCCGAGCGAAGCGAGGGTGAGCTGCTAGTTTATATATAATTATCAAATAAACATATTCCTAGAAACATTCTATTTCCTTCTGTTTGGTCGCGGAACCCAAAAAACTACTTAAAGTTCTTACAACTTTTTCGATATATTTTTCTAGAAATTTAAATAAAATAATATTTCCCGGCCAAAGGTTTCTTTTCTAGAAAGTTTTTTCCGGTTTTCACAAAATATTAGGAAAATATCATAAATTTTATTTATTTCCGGTAACCTTTATCCTAATTCCTAACATTATCTCTTCATGAAGTTTTAATGTCTTCATCTAACTGAGGATTTTTGTATCAAAAACTCATCCACGTTTCTGTCTTTTCTTTATACCCAATAAAAGCAGATATAAACTTTTTTGTCATTTACATAATGCCAGTAATATCCGCCTTAAGCCAATTCCGCCTTCGAAGTATATTTGGTATTACAATTAGCAGTTCTCAATATTGAGAAAAACTAAAGGAAATATTTTTGTAAGTTTAAGTTTGAAATTGAAAAAAAATAGCTACAGCTAAATGGTTACGATGGAAAAAACTCTTGAGATAAAAACACTTAGTTTTTATCTGAAGAGTTATTTTTAATTAGAATTCATGTTAAAATACACAAAAAAAAATTTTTTTGGGACAGATAGTTCAAAATACTTTTCTGAAAGAGAAATAATACGGCTGATTACGATAATTAAATACAAATTATGAAAAAATGTAAACGAGAAATGTAAATTTTGTTTTTTCGGCCAAAATTTTAATTTTATCAAGTAGCTTCAGCATGACATCTAATTTTTCCTATGAGGTTAAATAAGTAGTAGTTCTTACTAGCCTTTCGGCAGAAAGACTTTTATTATAAATATTAGAGAACCAAGTAGTTAATTTTTCTCTTAAATAAGTAACATTAGGACGAAGAAAATTATTTATTAATAAAACATAATAATATGTTGAATTATTATGTGATATGGAATAATTGATATGGAAATTATAAAAAATAATCTCTTAAAAAATAATGCTACAAACAGTTACTGAACAATTTATTTGTTATAGGAATTTGATAAATGTTTTTTGTATATAAAAGTTTATTTATTGAAGAACATCAAGAATTTTAACATCAAGATACAACTTAGGATTATTAATTAAATTAAATGAAAAAGTCGAGTAAAGTAGCGGATGAAAGAAAGGTTTATACATGTTAAAACCAGCTACATTCAAATACAATCTCTTTGCATCTCCATATTTAGATATCATATTAAATAAACATAAAGACGCGTGTACAAGCTGTGAGTAAAAAATAGTCCTCATGCGACAGTGGAAAAAGGACGGGTTTTGGGATATGAAACCCAAATAAAATACTGAAAGATTTTACAGATATTGCAATAAAATATTTTACTAGGTATTTGAACGAAATATAATACTTTCTTAGATTTACGCAAATATTTCACATGTATACATGAGTATTATAAATGTGAAAGTTTGTGAGTATGGATGTTTGTTACTCTTTCACGCCAGAATGGCTAAACGGATCTGGATGAAATTTGGCATAGAGATAGATTATAGTCTGAAACAAAACATAGACTATACTATTTTTATTCTTCTTCACGGAAAAATGTAGAGTGAGTTTTCATTAAAACTATCTTTTCGGATTTTTTCGCGGATTTATTTTGATTTTTGTTTCCCAACGTTTCGAATGTTTTACAGCAGTCATGGTCACGGGAGAGAATAATAATATATAATTTGCCTTTGGGACGTCGAAACATCCCAAAGGCAAATTATATAGTTGTTACAGAAAACAACTACCCACAAAATTATACAATGATTTTTGTATTTTTGAAAATTATTGTATAACAACAGACAATTGAGAATTGATTTTCAAAATTCTATTTTTACTGAATGAAAGTTGCTCAAGTGGAATAATTACATTTAAGTCAGTGGTTTTTGTTGTATAGGCTAGATTCCACAGCGAGAAAAAAAGGATTTTACGTATATAAAATATGTTGAAACAGGAGCTCGGCTTATATTTCTATTTTAACTTACAGCTTTTATGCATGCCTAGAGGTGATTATGTGGAATTTATGGACCAGAAAAGCTAGTACTGCCCACTAAAACAACGATGACAAGCTGATCGATAACTGTCCTAAAATGCATATAAGGCATAATTTTTATTATAAAACTCACATCCATGTACAAATAAATGCAGTATAGCATAATATATGTACATAATACAATATAGATTGTTCAAATACACTATACATTCTTTGAAATAAGCAAACTTTTTGTATTTAAAAATTATTAAATTTTATTTTTTACTAGCGACTCACCCTCGCTTCGCTCGGGTTCGTCTCTAGCTTGATTCCCGATACAAATTTTCATCCTCATTTTCACTCCCTTAACGAATTATTTCCGGGATAGAAAGTATTATATGTCCTTCCCAGGGTTACAATCTATCTTCTTACCAACTTTCATCTAAATGTGTTCAGTAGATCCAGAAATTCCGTCTACAACGTCACAAAATCACAAACTTTATCTCTTTATAATATTAGTACCTATATATAATATTCTTAATTCTTTATTCATAAGAATTAATGTTGATAATCTTATTTGTATTTAGCATTATATTTAGACGGCCAGGCGTTTGTGAAGCAAGTTATCTGAGTTGATACGAAATTTTAGTCCTTGTGTACACGAGTTGAATGTGCTTGTAAAATAAATAAACGGAAGGGCTCTGCCCTAGAGAACGGAAAATTCTCTATTTAAACATCATATTATAGTACTCGTAAGTTGAAAGAACATCCGTCAAAGTTAATTAACTCATGTTCAAAGTAGTTTATCCTATTAATTTATGCTTCACAAATTCCCAGAGATTCTTAGATATTTCAATCAAATAAAACGTATTAGACCCCATCTTTTCTACTCAATCGATACATGTATGTATAACGATAAGGAAAATTGTAAGCCAATTTTGTGAAGGATCTTGAATTATTAAATAAAACTATCTTTTCGGATTATTTTGCGGATTTATTTTGATTTTTGGTTCCCGACGTTTCGAATGCTTTACAGCATCCATGGTGTAAAGCATTCGAAACGTCGGGAACCAAAAATCAAAATAAATCCGCGAAATAATCCGAAAAGATAGTTTTATTTAATAATGCCAAACATTCGCGTAAATCTAAGAAAGTATTAAGGATCTTGAATATTTTCTGTGCAAAGCCTTTTTTTGTCTGTTTTTGTAAATTGCTCAATTATTTCTTCTCAAAAAAGTCCTAGCAACAATTAGAAATTCTCTTAGCAAGTGACTTGACTGATATTGACGACACGTTTGGCTCAGTTTGTAGTGACCCTACTTGCTGTGCCAGCGGTCGCGGGTTCAAGTCCCGCTGGGGGCATTCATTTGTGTGATGACGAATGTTTATACTCCAGTCATAGGTGTTTATATTTAAAATATGTATGTATTTAAAGTTATATATGTGTAGTGTATCAACTATCTGCTATCCATAACACAAGCCTCGTAGCTTATCATGGAACTAGATGACGCTGTGTGTGTTAATGTCCCAACATTAAAAAGGAGGAGGCACTTAATTTCCCTGTATTTAATTTTTTTTAATTTATTCACACATGTAATATGGGTTGAGGGTTACCTCAGGATCTACCTTAACAAAAAATCGGTGATCATATTTACATAAAAAAAAAGAAAATACATAGAGACCTCACAATACGTACATATAACCTCCTTATCAAATTACAACATTGCCTATATTGTTAAAAATATTAAGCTAAAATCAAAGCTATCCATCCTCTCAAATTAAATTAGACCTCCTCTTGATTTAGAAGCCTGCAATATAAAGAAACGTTCTTCTTATATAAGAAATCAATATTTTGTTATTTGTTACAGAGAATGGGGTCAGAAAATCGGAGTCAACGAGCGTAAATGATTTCAATTGCTGACATCGAGCTGATAGAAAATATACTAAAATGGAATTCCACACCAGGAGCAGACGAAATGTTAATAGACAGTACAAAAGAAAATGTGAACTTCTCAGAGAATGTGTACCATACAATAAAAAGTGTAAACGAAAATATTGCAAATATTTGCAACGATTCTAACGATAGGATAACAAATTTAACAGAATTTAGTGATACGGCTGATGAATATGATATTTTTGAAGCGAGTGTTATTATAATATTGTTTCTTTTAATAGTGGTAACTGTTATAGGCAATACATTGATAATATCAGCCGTAGTGACTACAAAGAGACTAAGAACAGTTACGAATTGTTTTGTTACTAGTTTGGCGGTTGCTGATCTTTTAGTTGGTATATTTGTTATGCCACCGGCTATAGCAGTCCATATAAGTGGTAAGTAAATAATATTTACATTTAAAATCTATAATGTGTCAAATAAGCTATACATTATATGTATTAGTTTATTATTTAGAAATTGTAATGTAATTTGTAATGAAAATTAGTAAATTATTATTAAGAAAATGTCAAACCACAAAATATTCATTTATCTGCTTTCATCATAAAAATGAATTGAAATGATGCCAGCCTATTTATTAAAAAAGGAATGATTAAAATTGGTTTACAAGAAGAAAAATTATGGCATAGTAAAAATATGAAAAAAGAAACAGATATAATAAATCTTGCTTTTTCGGTCGTCGGTCCATCAGTCGGTCAAAAAAAAATTTTTCGCTTCGCTTACCACAAAAAGTTTTGTTATAACGTGATGTGATTTTATAATTTGCAGTAAATTTTTTTTATCCTATTATACACCTAAATTAAGTCAAATATATTTTGTGCAATTTGACGTTGAACGTTTATAATGCAAGGTGAACTGATATCGGCATCAAAATCAAGACGGTTGATGTAACTTTACACAAACAATTTTTTATTACTTAACTTTAAAACTTACCCAACTAGTCTAGTGCTGCAATGTAAATACAATTTTATAGAATACTTAGGTTTTCATGGAATATTTAGGTGCCAGGTAGGTAGGAATGCGATAATTTCCCGCGGTAAAAAGTAGGCTATGTCATTCTGCAGCCCTCCAACTATCTCTATACAAAGAATCACGACAATCTGTCAGTCTGTTTCGAGGTCAAAGAAGGACAAACAAACAGACAAACATAGAAATGGATACATTGTATATCCTTATTAAATCTAAAGTTCTAAGTTGAACTCTTTGACTTGCAAATTCAGTCCTTTAGAAAGAGAGGTAACGGTTTCCCGGTCATTAATTATAATATAACAATAATGAGAATACGCACTTGTAGCTCAGTGGTAACCCGCTTGCTTGAAAAACCAAGTGAAGGTTTCAATCCTCGCACTTCTCAGAAATGCGATTATTTAATATTTTCAACTATGATTACCTTGTCTTAAGGTGAAGGACAACATCTTTACTAGTTTTTGAAAGGTGTATAAAGCTTGCATGCCTGCATTTGATTAGCGCCGAAAAGTAAGGTTCGGCTGTAAAAGGTGAAAAGAGTTGAATTACCTACTATACTTACTAGTTTATATAATACTAGCATTGCCCGCGGCTCCGCCCGCGTTCAGATGACCAAAAACCAAATTCTTAGGTTTTACATATTAGTATACTCTTTTATTGCAGTTTTTGTATTTTTTCTCAGAAATGAGATATTTTCCCGAGGTAAAAAGTATGCTATATGTTGACTCGAATAACCAACTATCACCATACCAAATTTCATCAAAATCCCTCCAGTGGTTTTTCTGTGATGCGGTAACAGACAGACAAAAATTCTAAAAACTATAGATTCGGCCTCTATATCGATAATAATGTTTATTTCGTTATGATTTTCTAAAAAATATACTTCGTCGCTTCTTTGATATTATTGTTAACACAGTGGTCCCTGTATAGTGCATATGACAAGCTGGTAAATAAAAGAAAAATAATTCTTACTGAACGTGAACATTACAATATTTTATAACTAAAACAAGTCATATTGTGGTCGGTTAAAATGTTATTGTTTCTTGAAATAATGACTTAAATGACTATAAAATAGTAATAATATGACATTCTATTACATTTATCTATTGCATTCGCGTTTATTTAATTACTTCTACGTGTACCTAATTTTTTTAACGTGTAAAACGTAAAATTGATCAATTTCACCGTAGCGCAAGAGTTAGTGGACGATTTATACAAAGTGTTATTCGGCTGGCCATTATTTTTTTCAGATAAACTCAAAAACTAGTATTGTAGATCTGATAGTGGTTAGTCTGTGTATCTAGAATAATTGTTTAAATGTTTGAACATAACTAATGAGTCCTTAATGAGATCCTAGAATAGTATAAAATAGGTTGCAGGTTCATATGTATAAGTTCTAAGTAATGTTTGTTAAAGTGAGATATTGCAGTCAGGTTGTTAGCTTTTGGTCAATGTGTGCATACAGATTTTATTAATTGAAAGTATCAAATTGAAAATGTTTGTGTAAATTCTTACAGCTCTTAGATGTTGAGTAATCATTGCGGTGCCCGTGCTTAGGTGGTAGGTAGGTAACAAGGTCGCAATATTCAGAGCATTATAAAGACGGTATTGGTTATAAGAGAATTGAATTGAATTTCTTGGCGGCAAGTGTAATGTTAATTTTAACGATAATAGTGGCTGTTGCGGCGGCAACGGAAATAGATCCCGCCGCACAACAAATTATTATATTCAAGGAAAAAACTTCCGTAAGTAACATTTTATTTTATGTAGATAATTGTCACAAGCAAACTTCTTTATAAGGTGGAATTGTGTTAATATTATCTATTTTATATAATCATATTATCTGACAGATTTAAATGGAATATCTTATAAATACATATACTAGCGATTCACCCTCGCTCCTAGCCTAGTTACTTAAAAAATGGGGGGTGGGTGTAGGAGGGTGAAAAATACTTTATGAACAATTCTCATACCTACCAAATATATAAAAAAAACATTAAAATCGGTCGAGCCGTTTCGGAGGAGTTTTGTTACAAGCACTGTGTCACGAGAATTTTATATATTAGAGATAGATTAGATTTTTTTAATTCAATGATTAGTCATTATGGTTTCTTGTCTATTTATTAATAAGGTACTGTATTAATATATTAGATTCATTAATGCATACTTTTTTTAGGGTCCCGTCGGTATATTAACCACTAGCGCAGGAGCTCCAGTTGAACGTGATGAAGCTTTAAATACTTTAAACACCAGGCTGATTTTCAATGAATATTTTATGGATACTATGACTCATCTTGTACGTGAAAGAATTCCCGAAAGATTAGTACATGCCAAAGCAGGAGGAGCATTTGGATATTTTGAAGTAACACATGATATAACACATATTTGTAAAGCAAAATTGTTTAGTAAAATAGGAAAGAGAACACCTGTCGCAGCCAGATTTTCCCCAGTAGTTGTAGAGAGAGGTGGCAGTGACACATCTCGAGATGCTCGTGGGTTTTCTGTCAAATTTTATACAGAAGATGGTAACTTCGATATTGTTGGATTTAATACACCTATGTATGTGTACAATGACGCGCGTCTCTTCCCAACTTTCGTTCGTGCTCAGAAAAAGAATCCAGCAACAAATCTTTTTGACAGCAACACTTTTTGGGACTTTTTAACGTTGCAACCTGAAAGTTTACATATGTTTTTATTAGTGTTTGGTGATCGCGGAATCCCGAATGGATATCGTCATATGCCGGGATTCGGAATTCATACGTACCAAGTGGTAAACGAATATGGTGATATTTACTTTGTGCGTTTTCACTTTACACCTGACGCTGGAATTAAAAATTTAAGAGCTGAACAGGCAAGGCAAATTGGTGCTGAAGATCCGGATTATAACACACGAGACTTATATAGAGCTATTGGAAAAGGTGACTTTCCTTCGTGGACGGTTAGTATTCAAGTACTAACTCTCGATGATGTAAAAAATAGTGAAATAAATGTGTTTGATGTAACAAATACAATTCCTTTAGGTGAATTCCCATTACACCCAGTTGGAAAATTTGTATTGAATAAAAACCCAGTTAATTATTTCGCCGAGATTGAGCAGCTAGCTTTCAGTCCTGCTAATTTAGTTCCAGGGATTTTAGGGGCTCCGGACAAAGTTTTTGAAGCGCGTCGCTTGGCATACAGAGATGCTCAATATTATCGTTTGGGGGCCAATTTTAATAGAATACCTGTGAACTGCCCATTCCAGACTTCAACATTTACTTATAATAGAGATGGTCGGCCTCCATTAAAAGATAACGAGAAAGATATTCCTAATTATTTTCCTAACTCTTTCAATGGTCCTGTTCCTTACATTGATAAGAAAAAGTCTGAGTTAATTGAAATTGTGGAATGTGAGCCAAATAATTTTAAACAGGCAACTGAATTATATGTAAATGAGATGACAAGTGATGAAAGGACTAGGTTAGTCGAAAATGTTCTATACAGCTTGGGTCCGGCGGCTTCGTGGTTGCAAAAGAAGGCAGTAAAAATTTTTTCACTCATACATCCAGATCTTGGTTACCGAATAGAACAAGGGCTACTCGCAAATGTTACCAAAAACTACGATATATATTAAATTGAACACAAGGAATATTTATGTATTTTATTTAATTTATTATACTATGTAAATAATTGTTTATCTATTTAGTATGTTATTATTATTACACGTGTTGTACCTACATTTATTTTTAAATTATTGTTTATTTCACAATTCAAATTCATATTGTAGATATATTGTAGATCTATTTTAATAGCCGTATGCTACTTCTGTTTATGGTATGTTGTGAATAGGTATCCTATACCTACATAATAACGTATATTATGTAATAAAATAGTAATAAAGTGAAATCTGTATTCTGTAAATGAAATTTTATTTAAAAACAATAACCGTGTTCAGAATATAAGCCACAAAACAATAGTTATTGAATTTTTTGTCTGTTTGCCTGTGTATCTGTGTGCGTTTCACAAAATTTCGTGTAGTGATAACTTATTACTCGGGTCAACATTTAGGCTATCTCTTACTATAGGAAAATCTTTCATTCCTACGGGAAAGCACAATAACTAGATCTATCGAATCGCCCCTAGAAAACCTGGGTAAAGTTGGCAAAATTTTAAGAGATAGATAAATTTTAATGATTTATTACACAAAAACTAGGTTAAAAGCAAGGTTAAAAATTACCATATTTTACAATTTAGAGTGGTAAAATCTTTCATTTTCATGGGAAAATAAAAAAAAAGTTCGGGCGCAAGTCGCTGTTTTATATGTACCCACTACGCGACAGTAAGTCTAGTAACTAATAAGTAGGTACTATACACTAAGTTTTAATATTACAAAATCCTTTATTTATTATGTTATATATATACTTATTTTATTTTATTCTTTATAAAATGGATTGTTTGTTTATGGATTTATTATGAATATAATTTGTAAATTTTATAAAAGTCTATTACGCAATGGACCAAAAATATGGGCAAACGATTGTAGCCCTTTTGTGGATTAAAATATTTATGTTTTATATATTTTTCGATTTTCTCTAATGCCGTTTTATTTTTAATAACCCAAATCTTAACATCTAATTTATATTTTTTGTTCATTGACCTTTATTGACAATGTAAATATTTTCTAATAATTAATATTTTGTGCACAACCGTTTTTCATTATTTTCATTATATCAGCTTTAGTTACTTTTCATTACAACAATATTTTTTCTGAAGTGCCATCCCATTCTACAACGGGTATCGTCGCCCCTAAAAAAATTCTTACTTTAGTAAAAAAAAATATTTTTTACTCCTCATTGGTGCAGTAGATACAGTGCGTTATTTAAAAGTTCACAAACTATTGTTGTTTATATAACTAAGAGTATTATCTTATTATTTGTACTGAACTATTACTTGTACTATTTGAACTGAAAATTAGGTGGGAACAGACTGGACGTCACCGGACATTAAAACTTAATTCCGACTTAACCACAAACTTAACGACATCAAAATATCTTTGGTTTACGTTGTTTTATTCATAACAATGAAAATACAACTTTACAAATATTTCGTTTTGAAAATCTTTCTGAACAGCAAAATATACTAACAACCTACTTAAAAAAATAATTAGAGGCATAACTATACATTTTTTTATTTCTTTTATATAAACTGATTTAAAAAGCTAACCGTAAAGGTTTAAATTCGTGCCCGATTCGAAATCCCTGTTTGCATTTTATAGCTTTGTTTTACTTTGTTTAGTAGCTATTGACGACATAATTATCTATAAAAATATTTTGGAAACAGATTTTTTCATATAGATAGGTGATTTGTTTCATATACAGGATGGAACAAATGGATGGGACATGGAAGAGAAGTACCTTAAATATAGAAGTTATCAAGTTTAACTTAAAGAAACATTTGTCTGTTTTAAAAATAACAGTAACTGCATCAATTTTTTTTAAAAAGCTTACCTGAACCGGGAATCGAACCCAATAAAAATGCAAAAAAGGGCACTGTCATTATTTTATCGAATTAATTGATAGGATCTATGGTAAGGATAAAATCTCTCGAATAAACATTGCCACTTAGAATTAAAGAAAACGGTGAAATCTTACAAATTATACGAGTAGATATCTAATGCTACTACCAATACTATATTAGTTGAACTCCACCACTGGGCGAACATAGTACCTATACATAAACTTCGTTATATTAATTTACCATTATTAAATAATATAATCGTTATTCGAATAAAAATTCGCAAAGTATCTTTCAGTAATAAATCCAATATAGTACTACAATTTATTCGTATTTATCGTAGGGTGTGAGTCGAAGAATATTGGCAGCTCTCTTTACAGTGTTTTGCGGGGTGAATTGATTTTATAAGGACTCTTTTTTTCTTTGAAACCTTTACGAAGATATCCTTATATTAAAATAAGATCCTACTTTTTATAATACTTTAATTTGTACTAAATCTGTTTAAAAGTTTATTTAAGTGTAATTGTTCTTATAAACACTGCTTTTTAGCAAAACGTTAGCTACGATAGCCTTTCTCAATAAATTAATGTACAAAATCCAAATATATAAAAATTTAATTGGTACTTCCAGATAATATCGTGTTCAAACACACAAAAACCTCTCATTGCCCGCGTCTCCGCCCGCGTTCAGATGACAAAAGACCAAATTCGTAGATTTTACATATTAGTATACTCTTACATTGCAGTTTTTGTATTTTTTCTCAGAAATGAGATATTATCCTGCGGCAAAAAGTATCCTATATGTTGACCCGGATAACCATCACCATCATCCCATCATCATACCAAATTTCATCAAAATCTGTCCAGTGGTTTTCTCGTGATGCGAAAACAGACAGACAGACAGACAAAAATTCTAAAAACTATAGATTCGGCCTCTGTATCGATAATAATGTCTATTTCTAAAAAAATATTTAATGCACAGATTCGACCCAGTTACAATTTTATTATATGTACCTATAGATATAGATTTTGATGTAGTATAATACAACATAATTTTATATTGTATTTGTTTTTGTTTTATTTATGCTTTTATACATTATAATATACTTTCCTATCGTTTTTCTACACTTTTTCTTACTGTTCCGCTATTTAATATTATTTCTCACATATATAAATTGACAGGGAGAGATCTCTTTTAGAAATAAATACCTTTGTTCGCGTCAATTTCTGTATATTTTTTTGGATTACGTGTTTGAGCATAAATAATTCATAGATTTTGCTACAACGTTATAATTCTGGATTCGGTATATTTATATATCCAATCATAATCTCTATAGGATATAAAATAAAACGCTAAAGAAATCGATTTATTATTGTTATAAGCATTCATACAATTAAAATGATGTGGATTTATTCTGCTAAATACAGAACTTTAATATAGAAATATGTATACGAGTATATAATGAGTCTGTATTAATATATTCTATATTTAAACGTCATTACTTTCTAACGAAGTTTCAAGCGAAAGCTAATTGGTACCTTTTTATAAAACTGTGACTCAAGTGTTTTGGCTGAGAAGTTATGTGACACATTGTCACAAAAAAAATTATAGCCTCTGTTAATACTTCTATTATTAGGTGAATAAATTAATGGTAAAAAACATTTTTGAACACATGGTTTTAAAGGGTTATTTTCTTTCTATCACATTTTTTTACTTATTTGTTTATTTATCATTATTTTTTTGTTACAAGTCATGATATCGGTGCACTATTTAATTTAACTGAATCATAATTTATTGTGCATACAAATTTTCGTCTGCGCCATTAAGTGCTGAGGTGATCTCTCATACCATGGCCTTTAGAATGGGCTATTTTTTTTTTAACGTTGGAAAATGCATTTACGCACGACGTGTGGGACTCACCGGCGTAATACAGCCAGTACTACCCACTAAAACCCAACAAAACCTTCCCCCGTCTTAATGGGGCGTCGCAGGATCGCTTACGCATTCAACTACGACGCCCCGACGGCAGGTCTGCCGAAGCAGACCACCACAACCATGGGGTTGCTCCAAGGTCCACTCTGCTATCAGAGAAGTACCAGGAGCAACCCGCAAGGTACACCGCCCCCCGAAGAGGGCCACCTCCCACCGCCCACCGAAGCGGGCAACCTCCCTGTGCGTTTCTTAGCTTCGCTACTACTACTGAGCCCCCCCACCACGACAAGGTGAACGCACGTTGGGGGGGTTAGAATGGGCTATAGTATAACTGAATACGTCTACAAAAATTCGTATCTACGCCGTTGGGTTCTGAGAAGATATCTCATTTGGAGCTAACGCAGCAGCCAAATCATGGTAGATTTTAGAACGGGCTGTAATAGTTGAATGCGTATATAAAATTTCGTGTCTGTAATCCTAACCGTAAAAAAATTACTTCGTCTGGAGCTAATCCTAAATGGAGATGCAGGTCATACACAATTGTTTATTTTTATAGTGAAAAGTTTTTCCAGAATGTTACATTAATATTAGAAAACAGCGGCTCACAAACGGTTCTATCCTTAACCATTCATTTTTCCGGGATAAAAAATAACCTGTTATTTGAACAGCAATATAAGGTATCATCATGCCAAATTTTACTAAATTAGGTGCATAAGTTGTGTACTAAGCTGTTTAAGTTAATATAGTTTTTTAACTATCCCGCGGGAACTCTTTAATTTTCCGGGATGAAAAGTATCTAAAATGTTGACCGCGGATGTAGGTATCAGCATGCAAAATTTCATTAAAATCGGTCCAAGAATTTCGGAGATTAGCCCGTAAAATCACACAAACAGAATGAAAAACAAAAAAAATGAAAAAATCTGATTTTTTTCTATTTCTCTTCTACATCCCCCTGAAACGGTTTTTAGCATTTTTTTTCTATGTACAGACATTTGACTTTTACAGTTTTATTATATGTATAGATTAAATTATACGTTGTTTAACATTATGGTGGATATCATTTTGAATTTGTAATGTTCTACGAACAATAAAGTGTAATTAAGATAAGCCCATGTAGGTCTCGAAGACTCGAGGGCTAAATATTTGAAAATAAACCCTATTCTGAAGAACATTGGTTTTAATTTAAGCTAAACACCTCAAAAAAGAACATTATTTTTATAAAGGTATATTAAAATAAGGTTTATTAAAATGGGGGTTGAATACTGTTTGAAGTTTAGACAAAGACAAACTGTTACTATGTATCTTATTGTTGAAAATGAGTTAGAATATTTACAAAGTCTTGCTTTATTAATTACTAGTTTACGCTAGCGACTCCGCCGGTAGTAGTAATATTCTATGTTCTTTCCAGGATCTCTTCTTACCAAATTTCATCCAAATCGGTCTATTAGTTTTTGAGTTTATTCTTTACAAACATGCAAAAATATTTATCTTTCCTCTTTATAATAGTGTTGTAGATTAATGTAATGATAGAATAGATATATAAAATAGCTTAGCATGGCTAAAGTATTGTTAGGAAAACAAAGAGACCCATAGGGTAGCGGATTTGTACGAAAATTTTGTTATAATATCAGGAATTGCTTGCCTTGCAGTTTGACGTGTGTTGATATGGGTATCATATAATTTCCATGTTAACATTTATCGCCACTTTATATTTAAGAAAAGTAACTAAATTATTATTTGCATGTGAAATACGTACATATATATATATATATATATATATATATATATATATATATATATATATATATCTGTGAATGTATGTATTTAGCATTTTCAAATATTTTACGACAATACGTGAGGCCACCACGCTGGCTACGTGCGTGTTGGCGAACTTCACATATCTTTCAAAACTTTTCTAGATTCTCTCAAACATGTAGGTTTCTTCGCAATGTTTTCTTTCGCCGTAAGACAAGCGGAAATTATATATAAAATGATTTGTACATGAAAATGTCGAAGGTGCGCGATCCGGGACTCAAACCCGCTTCACTTTGGTGTTGGATCTGAGATAAAAAATAACATAACGTTATCATTATTGTTAGTTGTTTATGAAATTAGTAGAAATATAATTTCTTCTACAGTTTAAATAAAAAAAAAAACAGATTAAGTGTCTATGTAGCTTTTATTGAAGATCTTTCTGATAAATGATTAATGGTCTAAATAAAAGCGATTTTGAGTAATTACCATCGGGCGAATTTTTTTTGTTCTAATAAAAAAATATAGTGCCTATTACATCTTTGACTAAGTTTTGAGCCTTACTTTGCTTGCGTGTTATATCTTTTCGGATTATTTCGCGGATTCATTTTGATTTTTAGTTTATTTAAAATGTCAAATATTCGCGTAAATCTAAGAAAGTATTCTCTTAAAACTGTCACCAATTGTGTATAGGGTAATTATTCTAGTTGAATGTGTAAATTGAACCTTAAAGGCAATGCTTAAAGTTGTTTATAGAAAAATAAATAACAGCGCTGTGAAATATTTAAATGAGCGCTCATTCAGTGAGGACATTTTTTGTCGCTGATTATGTATTAGCACTTTTTTATCGATGCCTACGCTATATACTGAAGTGACACTAATTCATCTCCGTCAGTAAAAGTCTTAGTTAAATCCATTACGCTATTCTTTCATCTTTAATGTTTGAAATCTTTATCTTTTCTTGGGATTTTCAATAGTTGCTTGGGTGTCATTATCTTTCGAATAATGGTAGGTATTAGTGATTGAACAGGAGCTTCAATTTAAATTTTAAGTATAGATATTCTCATATAAGACGATTGATATTCTTATTTCTAGATAATATACTAGCGACTCACCCTCGCTTCGCTCGGGTGCGTCCCTAGCTTGATTCCCCATAAAACTTTCATCTCCATTTTCCCCCCCTTAAGGAATGACTTCCGGGATAAAAATGTGTCCTATGTCCATCCCAGAGTCGCAAACTGTCTTCTTGCCAAATTTCATCTAAATCGGTTCAGTTGATCCAGAGATTACCCTTACAACGTCACAAACAAACTCACAAACTTTACCTCTTAATAATATTAGTATAGATAACAAATTCGTCGTCTATTTCCAGGTTTTTAAATTTGGTAACAAAAATAAAACCCAATAATTATAAAAATTATCAAAATAACTTTATGTTAAATAAAATAATTATTCACTCTTTCTGGTTAAAACGGCTGGACTAATTCGTAAAAAATTTTGTACCCAGACACATAGGTTATAACAAATAGGCTTCTGTAAGTTATCAAAACTACCAAAAGGTGGCGCTGCCTGTATATAATTTTATAAATACAAATTCAAATGGAGTTCCCATTAACACCTCTAGGTAAATTTCTTAAAAATTAATTACTTTTCTAAGAAATCTATTGTTAACTGACACGCCGGCGTGTCCGCGGTCGTGGACGGAATAAGTTGTTGGTATGGACTATAAAATGCAAAAGGATTTCTTAAACGTGCTAATCTCTGACAAACAAAAAACTCTCCAACTTTAAATATTAGCTTAAATGTACCAATACGATTGCTTGTCAATATAGAGAAGCTATTTCGTATATGGTGTTTGCAAACTGAGATAGAGTGCTAAACAAGAGTGCAACGTTATTGCATTGTATCTGTAGCTCCATACTCAGAAATACAATTTGGCGCTATGAGATTTTCAGCTAGTGCTTCGAATAGCTATTACAGAGTGTCCTGATAGATTTTCCAAACTACCCACCTTCCTTACTTTGTTTACAACCAAATTAAATTGTGTTTACGTATTTTATGTTGCACTAGTGAGTGACCTTTGCTTTGCTCTGTGATATTTGCGACTTGATACAATAAAATCGTCTTTTTTCGTATAATATAATATCATATGTATGTACTCATCTATATTAACTGCCTCGGTGGTGTAGTGGTAGCATGTACGGCTGCACACCCGGAGGTCCTGGGTTCGAGTCCCGGGTCGGGCCAAGTTTAGTTATTGAGTCATTCTGTATAAGTAAGCCTCAGTAACAGCCTAGAGTTGGAAAGTTAGTGGTGTTTTACCCCCGTGCCTCGGAGAGCACGTAAAGCCGTCGGTCCTGCACCTTAAATCTCACTGATCGTGTCGAGCAGTCGTCCCACCGGAATATGAGAGTGACAGGAATAGAGAGTGGCCTTGTGTCTGCGCGTACACTTGTGCACTATAATATCTCCTGCGCAGTTGACTAATCTCAATGAGATTGGCCGCCATAGCCGGAATCGGTCGGGAGAACATCATGTACTCATCTTTTGACAAACTATCATTATCATCTTTTGGCAAATTTTATATGAATAAGTTAATAGTAAAATTTAGCGAAAATTATACATTAGCGAAATTTAGTTTATATATTGACAAGTTCATAAGATTTCGATAAATATGTACAATGCAAATAGTAAATATGAGATGTTCATCTTCTTTATTATCTTTGTATGTGTTATTTTTTAATGGAATTATATAAATTACGGTAGCTCCGTCCAGTGGTTACAATTCGACCATAACTATTAAAAAAAAGTAAGGGAAAAAGGTACTGAACTTATTTGTTTTAAAAAAAATTACTAATTTCATGGCGTTTTCGCCGTTTAGAATAAAACACCATAGTGTCATTGCTCAGCAAGTAGGAAAGTACAAGAGCCCATACCTCGACTTTTAAAGTCCATCTATCATCATCATCAGTGATCCAGATAGTTGTTCCAGAGATCGGCGCACAGCTTTATAGTGAAAAACACAAATAAATCTATCCCACAGCAACCGTAATTTTTTTTGGGATAAAAAGTAACCTATATGCTATTTCAGACTATAACCTATCTCTGTGCCAAATTTTATTCAGATCCGTTTAGCCATTCTGGCGTGATTGAGTAACAAACATCCATTCAACTAAACGTTCGCATTTATAATATTAATGGGATTTATATTCTATGGGATAATAATGGGATTAGTGTAGATATAGGATGTATAGATATATTTCTAGCTCATTTCATTCTTAGTGTTAGATGGATTGCAAATTGTGTTACATAATATGGCTTCAGCCTCAAAGGAGCTCACTGCTTTTCTTAATTAAGATGTAGTGAACGTGTTGTGGTATAGCTATTTATTATTTTACTATATTTCAATAAACTTTTACAAATACTTAGAATACTCTATCTAAGTAAATAAAACCACTTTATAAAATGCTAGCGACCCTAGATATTAAGCTTACAAGTCCCGATTTATCAACCAACTTCAAAAAGGAGGAGGTTCTCAATTCGACTGTATTTTTTTTTTATGTTTGTTACCTCAGAACTTCGTCATTTATTAACCGATTTGGACAATTTTTGTTTTGTTTTAAAGGGTATACTTCCAGATTGGTTCCATTTAAATTTAAAAAGAAAATACCACTCCTAAGGGTGTAAAAATAGCTAATAATGAATTTAACCTACTTCTAATTGCCATATTGACTTGAAACTTTGCAAGTGTTTCTATTTCCGTTGATAGTACAGTGGTTCGGTATTGTTGACCTGATCTGATGGTAAGGCCAGAAGGTGGATAGGTGGAACTCTTCAACGACTAATAGTAGATACTTTGAGTTTGGGCTTATTTTGTTTGGTATGACAAGCCTAACACTTTAGAATTGTTACTTGGCTACTACTGTCTACACTAAAAAGAGAAAAATAAAAACTTTTTAACAAAAAAATAAAAACCGACTTCAAACAAAAGCACTAAAAAGTAAAAAATAACTGATTGGTAGTTTTCATTTACTATACATACCTAATCAAATATTTTCGAAGTCAATGTGCTTTGCTTTGTATGGGCTGGCACCGATTTCGAAAATATTTGATTAGGTATGTATTTAATAGGTAGGCTTTAATTACTTAGCCAAAGCACACCGACTTCGAAAATATTTGATTAGGTATGTATAGTAAATGAAAACTACCAATCAGTTATTTTTTAATTTTTAGTGCTTTTGTTTGAAGTCGGTTTTTATTTTTTTGTTAAAAAGTTGTTTTTTTGTTCATTTTTATTATCTCCTAAAAGCCAGGATGTTGATGGATGTCCTTAAAAATCCTTGAATAAGTGTAATTAAATAAAGTATCATTTCATTTCATAAGTTAAAGAATCAAATTACATACTGTAAAAGGCAAGTTTTATCTCTATTAAATGATGATGTTCTCCTGACCGATTCTGGCCAATCTCATTGAGACTAGCCAACTGCGCAGGAGATATTATAGTGCACAAGTGTACGCGCAGACACAAGTGCACTCTCTATTCCTGTCACTCTCATACTCCGGTGGGACGACTAATCGACACGACCAGTGAGAGTTAAGGCGTAGGACCGACGGCTTTACGTGCTCTCCGAGGCACGGGGGTGAAACACCGCCAACTTCCCAACTCCGGGCTGTTACTGAGGCTTACTTATACAGAAAGACTCAATAACTAAACTTGGCCCGACCCGGGACTCGAACCCAGGACCTCCGGGTGTGCAGCCGTACATGCTAGCCACTACACCACCGACGCTCTATTAAATACTTGGACTTTAACTACTTCATTAGTCAATAACCGGGCACGTATGGTCGTTGATCCTAAGATCCTGGATTTGAGTCCCAAGTCGGGTCAAAGTTATAATTCAAAGTCAAGCAATTCTCAGTAATACACCTGAGTTAAGTAAATTAATGGTGTTTACATCCCCATGCCCTGTACAATAAGTGCGTTCATAATATGATATTAGTAAATTGGGAAAAACAATTAATATTAATTATGCTTAACATATGAGCAAAGCGAAGCTTAGTCACAAGTTCGATATCAATGTGAAAGGAATAGAGAGAGAATTGATAGAAATTATCGCAGGATTAATTATGTGTTCCCTGAAGAACTCCTGTTTTCTTCCATTAATTTTAAGTTCCTGGGCGACCAAGCTTCACTCGGAGTTTTTGGCCAAAAGTACAATTTTCTTTTTAATTGGCTTAAAAACAACTAAGAACTTGAATAAATATAAAAAAAATAAAAGTAAAATCTTTGTATCGGACCGGGATTTGATCCCGGACATCTGTGATTGTCAATCTCGCGCCTTGGCCCCTTGACCACGATGCTTATACCCAAGCGTGTGAAATTAGCGACCATATTTTGCGTGGAATAATGCGAAAGAAAACCTCATGGAAACTCGGAAACATGCGTTTTCCCAGACATAAGACTAATCTAGATCCATTTTTCGCCCCTCTGAACCGCCGCATACCAAATTTCAGCGAAACCATTAGAGCCGTTTGTGAGATTGCCGGTATAAATAAATATACAAGAATTGCGCGTTTAAAGGTATTAGATAGATTAAATGAAACTAAAACCTTTATAACACTTACCATAACATAGTTCCTTTTTATTAATATTAATTATTCTTCTTTTCTAAAGGTAGATGGGAGTTGGGTTGGATCCTCTGCGATATCTGGATCAGCTTGGATATTCTTCTATGTACAGCTTCTATCCTCTCACTCTGTGCTATCAGCATTGATCGATATCTCGCTGTCACCAGACCACTGACTTATTCTAGAAGAAGAAGATCTAAAAAGTTAGCGCTGACGATGATTTTCTTTGTTTGGATATCTGCTAGTGCGATTACATGTCCCCCAATGTTTGGCTGGTAAGAATTTGTAATTATATTTTTCATTTAGTCTATAGTATGCAAAATACTAAGCCGTTTTAATAGTCGTACTTATTATACAATTAATAGTTTTTTATGAGTATTATAACAAATCTAGTTTAAAATATTTATTAGACAATAGAAATCAAAGATGCCTTTTTAGTGTAGGTAAAGTATGAATCATAAATACAAAAGTCTACACAATCACTAAAAATTGGTCTGTGTGTCTGTCACAACCTATTACTTAGCTAATCAATTAAAGAATTTTTAACTAAGGAATGAGAAGTAACTATAGCTTAATCGATTTCAAAACTATTTTTAGTGTACATAGGACTCGCGTAAGAGTAACTAAGGTAATTTCTACAATACGCAAGCCGCAGCTGACAGCGTATATCAATAAATCTCTCGGACATTAATGGGCTTAAAATGTAACACAAATAGAATTCATGTATATTATTTATTACTTCAACATATTTTAACACTCGTAATTGCAAATCAAACTTTTTTTTTCAGATTAGTATGTAATATATACATATTATGGAAAAGTTACATTTATTGAAACTTTTAGGGAAGGTTTATCTCATGATGTCTATAATTATTGTGATCATACAAATGTTTTTCTTTACCTTTTACGCTCCTGATACTTTGGAGAGTAAACAAAAGACAGTATTTCGATCTTGGGACAACATAAGTCAAATGTCCATATTAAACTATGAATTGCGTCCAAAATGGCAAATTGGTGTTGTGATCAGGATCAGAGTAGATCTTCAGACCAATATCTTTTCTTATGAATTTTGGATAGATTAACTTGTTAATTTAATTTTAAAATACATAAAACTTAGTTTTGCCTTGAAATAATAATACAATACAATGACTAAAAATGTAACATAAAAATAGGCTTGGTGAACTACTTGATTATAGACTTCCTTTTAACCGGCTAAAGTAAACGGAAGGGATTTTCAAATGTACGATGATCAATCATGTTTTGCGCCCACTAACCAAATTGATGCAGCAGGTTTTTCTTTTCTGTTATGGTATATAGTTTTGATACAACGTCACTAGTTTCTGCCTGCGGCTTGCCTGCATGAAAAATATCTTCCTTCTTTTTTAACGATTGAAGCAACACCAACCTAACCTTTTGTTCCTCATCCCGTGTTTCTCTAGTACTAAATTAATCCAAATTGATTTATTTAGAACTACATGACCATGGTCGTATTACAGATGTAAAAAATATCTTTTATAATAAGCCAGCACTTGCCAGGTTTTATTTAATTCCATCTAAAATTTACCTGTCAGGGAATTACAAACATCCAAACCTTCGTAAGCTTTCAATTTATATAATAAGAATAGTGTATTATTACGTTAACTATATTGTCTTTCTTTATACATAGGTACGAACCCGACCACAACCAAGGAGGAGTTTGCCGCTATAATCAAAACCCTGGTTATGTGGTTTTTTCCGCTATGGGTTCCTTCTTCTTGCCCATGATCGTTATGGTGTACGTTTACGCAAGGATATCTTGTGTGGTCGCTCGAAGACATCATCAGCTGGCCAGTACTACTACAAAATGTAGCAAGGTAGTTAATTTATTTGTTTAAATATTTTTAGTATAGTATTATAGTACCAAGTTATAGTGATAAATCACTGAAAAAAAAATCTTTTCCTTATACTTGTGGAAGCAAAACTTGTGGAAGAATGGAAAAAAAAAATGATGGAGATATAATAAGAAGAAGAGCGAGAAAATATTTTTTTAAAAGCGTTTTTAAGCAAAAATACCATACCGGTTTTAAAATTACCATAAAAGTAATTATTGTACCCCTAATAGACGGTGGACACTTTCATAAATTTCATAAAATATAGGAATTTTTAGGTGAAATGAAACTTCTGTAACCTTAACCAACCGCACTTTTTGTCCTTTTGAGACCACATAGAGCTATTAAGCTCTATCTATTAAGATCATTAGATCTATATAAATAATAAAAATGAAATGCTATTCGTTAATTAGCGTATCACTTGAATAAAGCTGGTCAGGATTGCCATTTTTTTTAAATAATAAGGCTTTTTAGGGAATAAATGGAAAAGTTTCGAAAAAAATGGATACTTGTAAAATTCAGGTGAAACTTTTTTCAATTTTTTGTGGTTTTTGCCAAGAGTTAGGTTCTTAAAGATACTAATTTAAATTTAAAAAAAAATAATATCTGTCAGCTCAGTTAGTATTTTAATAAAGTATTTTCATTAAAATAAGAACATATCCAAGAATATCACTTCAGGTACATACAAATAAAATTAATTTTCATAACTTGAGTTTAATATATATATTTTTGGCAATATTGACTGAATCTCATAATATGTTAATCATTTATATAAATTATTAGACGTATTTCGTTTTTATTTAAGCAAGTATGCTTGACGCGACATTTTCCAATACTAATATCGCACGTACGAACTGCAAAATCCATTGGGGGCATACATACGTTGGATAAACGTTTATATAACGATGCAGTGTAGATATTTTATAGAGAATATTTTAAATTCTCTTTAAGTAAAGCGTAAGCTTCAAATAGCTTTTCTCGCTTTTGAATATTTAATTTCTTTCATCGTCGATGTTAAAATTTATAAAACTTAAATAAACTTATTTATTTCTTAACAATTAAATAATGATCATATTTGTATAAGTCGGTTTAAATATAATACAGACTAGAGATATACAATGAAAAATCTAGAGATAATGATGTTAATATAATCAATTATTAAAAATTAGCTGTTTTTAAATTAAAAATAAATTTTATATCTGAAGCTAGAATATTTGTGACTCACATAGATAATATATTATGTCTATCAATGTTTACATACTACGGGATTCGAACTTTCAACCACTTAATTATAGCTGTGCTAAGACCCAAATAATTAAGAATTCTCAATACAATTTTACATTCATGATCTTCCACTATATTTTACGTATTGTTACAGAAAAGCAACCTATCATGCATCCGTACCGAATCTGACTCAGGTTCAGACAAACTCTCTCTCCGACAGAATGCGTCTAAACAACCCTCAAAAACCTCAACACAACACAGTGAAGTATCTATACAGAGCGACCAAAAATGTCCATGCTGCTTCAGAACCGAAAAACGTCGTCAATCTAGATATAGGTCTAATGAGAAAGAATCTAAATTTTATAACGAAGTACCATTCAAAGGTAATTTTAAATATAAAGGCACAAGTCGTCATAGAACTTATTCTGTTAAAGAACATATGGAGAATAGAGTTTCTTCGTTGAGAAGAGAAACAAAAACAGCACAAACATTAAGTTTGGTTGTTGGTGGCTTTATCGCTTGCTGGCTGCCATTTTTCCTTTATTATTTACTTACGCCTTTCATTCCTAGTAATTACGTTAACTCTGTATTAATGTATATTTTAACATGGCTAGGTTGGTTCAATTCCGCCATAAATCCTTTCATCTATGCATTTTATTCTCCGGATTTTAGAATGGCTTTTTGGAGGCTTACCATTAAAAAATGTAAGCGAGGCAAGCGTTAGTGTATGTACATTTGATATGTATATTAGGGAATAGTGTACGTAATTTTTAAATGTATATTATATAATAATTGCAAATATGTAATTATGATTAAATAATAATAATTATTAAATAATGATGATATATTGTTTAAGACTTATTAAATTAGTTAAATGTGATTGATGAAGAAAATTGTTTTAATCAATAATTGTAGGTATTAGTCAGTTAGCGGTTGTAAATAATACATAATAATATATAGATAGGTACTATGTTTAGGAGTCTGAACTTTGATAATGCTATATGATAAAACAATCCTTTACGTTGTTCAAAACGTTATATAAAAAGAAAATAAAAGGCAGAAAAAACAGACTGTGTCTGTAAATCACGAATATGATAATTGTGAATTGATTATTTTATTTTCACTGTTTATATTATTTTAAATATTCTTAATCCATAAAATAATTTAATTAATTTCTTAGAAATTTACCTGGAGGTAAATATAGAAAAAAAATCGCACTAAATTCAAACATTTGTTTGTTAATTTATATCATATTACTTTTTTTGTTAATTTGAAATCAGAAAAAAGTTGTTTCGCATACGAAATTCTAAATATTGTTACTTTTTTAATTTCTAAAGATACTTATGTCATTATAAATGTAGAGTATGTATATGAATAATATCACACACACAATATCAAATTTTCAGCCTGCTAGGTTCAGAGGCTGTTTTGCCTAGGCGATGATAAATCACTCAGAGCCAACAGAGTTACATATATATTCTCATAATATAAATAAAAGAGACTTGGCATATATGTCACTCACTATATGTAATATACCCAAATCCCAAACAGATGCATAATAACTATGACTGGTAGAAATACATATATAGCTAACGTATACGATATTTATGGAGTGGATAAAGTCTTCTTGACTGATTTCGGCCACGGCGGCCATTTTGCATACACAAGTGCACTCTCTATTTCTTTCATTCTTCAAATCCATTGAGACGTCAAATTGACACAACCACCGATGAGAGATCAATGATAAGGGCGACAGCCTTAAGTGCTTTTCCGAGGCACGGGGGTTAAAATAACCAACTTCCCAACTCCTGGCTAATTTGACAAAAGAATCCAGTAACTATGCTTGGTCCGACTTGGGAATCGAACTCCGAACCTCCTGGCAATACTTCCAGTTACTGCTAGCCAATGAATATCGTAGATGCAGTCTTCGATGTAGAAATATATACTTAATATGTACTTACTCCAAACACTGCATGACAAACAATGATTTTGCTCCATAGTTTTGAAACAGCATGTTACTATTTTATTATTTAAAAATTTTATGTATACAATAGTGACAATATTAGGTCGCCAATTAGATGCAAGAGTACTTTACGTGCGAGTTCAAGAGTGGAAGTTTTTATGTTATTTTTACAGCCATATTTCAACTACACAGAGTACAACGGATGCGGTGGCAGTAACATTAAAAGTTGTACAGTTTTAAAGATATAAAATGCTTGGACCAAATTTAAACAGAGAAAATAGTAGGGATAGTTTGTTTCACACAAATGCATATAACTTTATAATGTTATATTTTATATGCTTAATAATAAAATATACTATCTTAAATTCATGCGAATATTTGACATTTATATCTATCTATACAGATAAGAATTAAAAAAAAACAACACCCAACACAATATGTAGGTCATTGAGACCATGTCAATGAGCCTAAACACGATACCTCTGCAGTATTTTAGTGAGGAGTTGAGGATTCCAGGTGACACTGCAGCATCAGTCCAAGATTACCATACCATTGCAATGTCATTGAAGTAACGGGATGCTAAGTTTCAAATGGAATAAATCTGTAGAAGTTGTTCATATGTCTTTACTGTATAGAAAAGAGATTTTCTCAATTTATAGCTAAGAACACCTGATTAAATTACATTTATTTATTTTTTTAAACTAAATTTAAATCGGTTCAGACGTTTGGACGCTGCAATGCCACAGACAGATAAAATTTATCTCTTCACTGGCAGATAGCTTATGTTATAAGGAGTAAATTAGGCTTCTATTAGATAAAGAATTAGGCACATCCGAGAGAAGCGAGGGTAAGTCGCTAGTATTGCTAAAACACGTATTTATTAAATTGTATTGAAGAGCATTTATACCAAATTTCAAGTAAATCTGATCATAAATATTTTTTGGTTTATATTATAACGTATTCTCCCGTGGGAAAGAGATAATCTCTCGCAGTAAAAAGTAGCCTATGTCACTCTCCATCCCTCCAACTATCTCCACACAAAAAATCATGTCAATCTGTTATTGCGTTTCGACGTGAAAGAAAGACAAACAAACACACTTTCACATTTATAATATTAGTATGGATTTAATTTCAGAAACATTCGTTTTAAAATCACCGCCAAATATTAATTACTTGTTATGGTATGTAATTATCCTTTATTGTACAATGGCTTATGCCTAACATTAAATTAATAACTGTTTGGTTTCCGCTCATTAATTATGACTATCGCTATATGCTAGCGTAGAATTGAGATCGAATTATATCGGATCTCATTGAAAAAAATATACACGCTTAATATAATATATATACCCAAATATTATATAGAGGAAAGATTTGTATTTTTGTATGTTTGTAACGAATAAACTCAAAAACTACTGGACCGATTTAGATGAAATTTGGTAAGAAGGTAGTTAAAAGGACATAGAATATTTTTCATTACGGAAATCATCCCTTAATGGGGTGAAAATGGGGATGTTATAATTTGGACTGTAATTTATTTAAAACTCGTATAAAAATATTTATCGTAATTAAAACTTTAATAACTTGTATAACAAAAATCCTGATATTGTTATTAAGGAACCCACTTTGAAATATCCAGATCAGGAAATTCTACTTCTAGTACTTTTCTGACTCCTTAAATCCAATTTTTTTTTAATCTTTACAATTTTACTGTATAAACATTATTTCATTATTCTATATGAATAAATTACATTTTTATAATTGAATAAATTTCCATACTACCTTGCTCGCGAACGTAGCCAAATTTATTTTTTTATTTATATTAGCATTCACGACACGTTTTGACGACACGTTTGGCTCAGTTTGTAATAACCCTACTGGCTGCGCCAGCGGTCGCGGATTCGAGTCTCGCTGGGGGTATTCATTTGTGTGATCAGCACGAATGTTTGTACTCTAGTTACGGTTGTTTATATTTATAATATGTATGTAAATACTTCTTCAAATATATTTAGATTTATCATTTTTTAATGGATAATTCTTTAAAAATATATAAAATCAGCGACTCCCCCACGCTTCGCTCGGGTTCGTCCACAGGTTGATTCTTCATACAAACTTTCATCCCCATTTTCACCCCCTTAAGGGATGATTTCCGGGATGAAAAGTATACTATATCCTAGGGTCTCAAACTATCTTCTTACCAAATTTCATCTAAATCGGTTCAGTAGATCTAGAGATTACCCCTACAACGTAACAAACTCACAATGTCACAAACTGACATAGATTATTCGGACAGTATTATTAAAAATACCTTGTTCTTATAAAGCAAAGAATTCGTCTAGATTTATTACTCAAACTATATTGTGGAAAGTAACCTTTTCAAAGTATGCGATGTACAGTAATTGGATTGTTGAACCCACGTAATTAAATACGCGGCATCGATAGAACTCGCATAAAATTTTGACGCTAAAACTAAGTAGCCCAAAGAGAACGTTTAATGGTCCCTAAAAATGTTAGAGTAAATTTCGTTTACTTATCTTGAAATTTTGAACTAATTTCCATTATACTTACTTATTTCAAAATTTTGAAGTAATTTTTGACCGATTTCCAAAAAGGAGGAGGTTCTCAATTATTTTTTTTGCTTCAAAGGGCAGCTTACTATATTTTAAGATATGAGTATCTAATAGGTAAATATGTATTTTACGTATCGAAATATTTTTGCTTTGCATCGGCTGGCACCGACTTCGAAAATATCTGATTAGGTATCTATTCTAAATGAAAACCTTCGTTTAGTTTTTTTTTACATTTTGGTGCCTGGAAGTTGGTGTTTAATTTTTTTTTAAGTTTGTATCGTTAAACGAATAATTATAATATCTACAACAATTTTCTATACAGTGGTCAATCTCGCTGAGACGCCCCCAACTCCGGGCTATTACTGAGAATTTCTTTAGATATTCTGACAACTACTTGATCTAATCTGGAACTCGAACCCAGGAACTTTCGAGCAGTATATGCAAGCCACTAGACCACTAGAAATTTAATCTTATAATTGTGTCAAATTATTTTGCGGATTAGTTCTCGTTACACAATAACCGAGCTATATATAGTCTTGATCGTTTTTAAGATACTTACAGAGCAGAGCTTTTTTGTTCTAAAGCTTGGAATATTAGTGTAGATTAAATTTATTTATTTAACCAAAGTTACTTACAATGTTGTAAGCTTTTATCTTTAATCTCTCCGGTATAAGTTAAAAACATTTCGAATACTTGAAATCGAATGAAAAAACTTTTCTTGATGGATAACGATTTTTTTAATTAGCAACCTTGCTCACTAAAGTTGTACTGCAAATGAAAATGTTACAGGCACGGCTATTTTGTAAATAATATCATATTAGAATATTGATACACGTATAGTACACAATATGACGTTTTCGTGTGATAACGCCCTTTCTGGTTAAAATTGGTATATAGTATCAAATATTTATTGTTTGGAATAAATATTTTATAAAATAATAATTTACATAAAACTACTTCTCCTATATTATTTTTGTTTTTTTCAGTTCTAAGTATTCTTGTTTACTTCATTTTATACTAATCCTAATTACAAAGCCTTTTGTTAAAATCAGGTAAGTCTTGTGGTCCTGTAATAAATATGTATTTCTTCCTCCTACAGACTATGTACGTACAGAAATACATAAATTTAGATGTAAGTAAAGAGATAACAAACCAATAAATAAAGTTATAATAATAATAAAAATAATAAAGCCTCTTTATTCTCTTGATAAATATCACAATACAATTATTTCTTTATCAAAACATTTTTTATCAGAAAATGCAATATATTTAGTTTTTATATATATATATATATATATATATATATATATATATATATATATATATAGTACTTTAATAGTTACTAAAAATCTCTAATTTATTAATAGATATTAATTACAATTAATCATTTCGTTTTTAAAATCAAAACAAACGTGCAATACATTTTTAATTATTTATAAATAGTTCAAATAATATATTTTTTTACATTAACATTTGTATAACTCAAATTCTCTAAATTATTAATAGATATTAATCAAAATCTATCAATTCATTTTTAAATCAAAATTTGCAATACAATTTTTATTATTTATTTATAAAATAATGCAAACTATAATTAAAGTTATTCAAATTGATTTGGTTTTTGAACACAAAATTAGCAGAAACCTAGTATTATTAAGGACCTCTCTACGAGTGAAGGTCTCCTTCCATTTTGCTCGAACTTTTTCTATTTCTAGCTTTTACAGCTTTCATTCATTCATCCACATTCTTAAGCAGCTATCTTACATATCTCATCAATTCATCTTTTTTTTTTGGTATGCCTCTATGTCTTTTTGTGCATAGGACCATTCAGTTACTTTTTTGGTCCATTTTTGGTCTAACATACGAGCTATACGGTCAGCCCACTTCCATTTTAGATTTAGATTTTTTAGAAACAGTTATTATCGTATTTAAAATAATGGCGAGGATTATATGGAGTTAATTAAGATAGATCTACAAAATGTTATACGACACAGTTAACCATTTACAGCCTTGAACACTGCTTATTTTGTTGCTAATCCGATAAGTAATAGATAGGATTTATTTGTCTACAAACGCCTGAATCCACATTTTGTTAGTTTTGTGACCTAGGATTTGTAGGTATTTTAATTTAATGAATATTACTAATTTGACAACCGTAGTAAGTATGGACATGTCAGCGATTGCTGTGAATGTAGCCGGTTCGATTTTCTTAAATAACGAATAGCAAATTTTCATCATAATTATATTATGTTGTCTTTAACTTTCTTAAGAGAGTGTAGGTAATTGTATGTACAATAAACTATAGGAGCAGATAATTTTAAATATACTTACATCACTCGTATTTACATCCAAAAATAATGATATAAATGTAAAAATGTTTTGTTTGTTTGTTTGTTTCTTCTTCCTTCACGTCAAAACAGAGTGACGGATTGGCGTGATTTTTTGTGTGGAGTTGTGATGGCTGCATACCTTTATTTTAAGATTATAAAAGGTTTTAATACAATTATTTCAGGAGATTTGACATCAAGCAATGAAATAAATATAATATAAAACTTATTTATTTTATTTTATTTATTTATTTAAGATCACTATCATGATATACAATAACTTAACAAAAATATACAACTGAACAAAGGAGGTCTAAATCCAACTGTTATCAAACTTATAGGTTACCACGCTATGCATAAGCAGTTACACGGAGCATTTAAAAATTTAGAATTAACAGCACTAAAAATTATAAAAAAGAAAAAAATCAAATCTATACATATAATAAAATTGTAACCAAGCCGAATCTGTACATTAAATATTTTTTTGGAAAATTTGAGTGAAATAGAGGCTTTATATTACCTTGCTTGATGGCTTGAGGATTATCAATATAGAGGCCGAATCAATAGTTTTTAGAATTTTAGTCTGTCTGTCTGTCTGTCTATCTATCTATCTGTCTGTTACCGCATCACGGAAAAACCACTGGAGAGATTTTCATAAAATTTCATATTTTGATAGCTGGTTATCTGGGTCAACATATATGCATATAGGATACTTTTTACCGCAGGAAAATATCTCATTTCTGAGAAAAAAATACAAAAATTGCATTGTAAGAGTATTATACTAATATGTAAAACCTAAGAATTTGCTTTTTAGTCATCTGAACGAGGGCGGAGCCGCGGGCAATGCTAGTTACAATCATAATAAGTTACTTAAAGAATAATGTAATTGCATAGTTTTTTTTAAATAATTTAGGTATGTACAATCCTTGTATAAAATGATTATAACATATTATGTGTAGATGAAGAAATGTATATACTCGTAGATAGTCCATGTAAAGATAACGTCTATCATTCAAAATGTATACTTTAATTATTCTAGTCAATTAGGACTGCAAGTTTTGTGATAAATTGCAAATGTATGAAATAAACATTTTATTAACAATGCGTTTTATTTATATATATGTTAGTTTTAAGGTATATATGCAATGGGCCTCTGTTTACATATTTAAGATCCTTTTGTAAATATTGCCTGAAATAAATGATTATATATATATATATATACATATATATATATATATACATATATATAATTCATATTTATAATATATATATAAAATATTTTTCCTATTAAATAAAATCCGCTACAAATTTTTATTTATTAACATTTAGTTACTTATCATAGCAGTGAATTTTCTATTTATATTTGTATTCCTTTTAAAAACAAATGTATGTTACAAATATGTTAAACATATATAAAAACACAAAAACAAATCTATCCCACGGAAACCGTACATTTATCCGGGATAAAAAGTAGCCTATGTGTTATTCTGATGTATGATATATATTATTGTAAAGTTTCATTAAAATCCATTCAGTAGTTTTTGCGTGAAAGAGTAACAACCATCCTTATATCTATATATCCAGAAATCCTCACAAACTTTCGCATTTATAATATTAGTAGGAAGGATATTAAATCATTATTGTTTGGCTCCATGTTAAGTTCTATGACACTTAGTCCTTAGCAGTATGTAAGATCCAATCACATAGTAACACCTCCAGGTAAATTTCTAAGTAATAAATTAAATTTCTAAGAAATCTATTGTTTACTATAACGCCGGCGTGTCCGCGGTCGTTGAGGGATTATGTTACACGTACATCATTTATCGTAAAATAAATTAAAGCAAAGAAATATAATATACCCCAAATCTATATGTATATAATAAAATTGTAACTAAGCCGAGACTGTACATTAAATATTTTTTGGAAAATCTTATTGATATAGACATTATTGCCGAATTTAATATATTAATGCTGAACAAAGGCCGAATCTATAGTTTTTTAGAATTTTTGTCTGTCTGTTTGTCTGTCTGTCTGTGTGTCTGTCTGTCTGTTACCGCATCACGGAAAATCACTTGAGGGATTTTGATGAAATTTGGTGTGATGATAGCTGGTTATCCGGGTCGACATATAGGATACTTTTTACTCCGAGAAAATTTGTCTCTCTGAGAAATCTATACTAAACCTTAAAATGTAAGTAGGGACGAACACGAGCGGAGCGAGGGTGAGTCGCTAGCGTTTACTAAGAAATTCCATACCGAAAGTTATTAAAAAAGTTCTAAGGGAAGTGATTTCGCCAATGTTTGTACTTTAAAACTCTGGAAATTTAAGCCAATTTTGAGTAAATTCCAACAATTTTGTACCAGCCATGTGCTCGTTTCTGACTTCAAAAATGACGAAGTTTCTAATTACGAGTATATAAACTTTCATCTCCTATTTAACCCTCTTGGGAGATGAGCTTACAAAAATACTTTCTTAGACTTTATTTTTACTACATATTATAAATTAAAGTTCCCCACCATGTTGAGTTTGTTTTTGTAATGTCAAAAACTACTGTACCAATTTCAATACGGTTTTGACCAAAAGAAAGGGATAATCTAAGCTATAATTTGCTAGTAATTGAATTGAGTCAGGAATGATCTTCCTTATGAAAATATAAACTTAAATGCAAAGGCCATGAAGGATAACTGGTTGTTTTATAAAGAGCTCTACTAAAATAGAATTAAAGAGAAAAAATTTGAAGACATAATATAACATGGCGTCAAAAATCGGCCATTTTAATTTTCATAATTTTCATATACCCAGTGTTAGAATCTAACGACACCACTCTCTCGCTAAAATCCATCAAGCCGCTTTAGGCTACAGAGCGTGCAAAAAAATATACACACACACATACACTCGAAAAACATAACCCTCCTTCTAGCGCAATTGGGTAAAAAAGTTTCGCTTCTAGATCTGGAGCCAACGGCTTAGTGCATTGTCGGTCTATGAATGAAAATGCTCAATGTGAAACTTTATTAAGTAGATAGGCTAACTTAA